ATGTCTGTTTAACAACCCTGCGACTTGGCGGAAGTGACACGCCACTAATTAACGTCACTGCCACTTGCCTCTCTCTAAGTGGCATTGTAATGCAAGGGTGTGTTGTACCCCTAGTCCTTCACGGATCGAAAGGCGTATGAAGCACTTGTTTGGTTACCGGCTCCCAAAAGGGTGCGATACCCTCATATCGCCATGCTGGCTTATGGGTTAGATCCAGGAACATAGGCTCGCGGTGGGTGATAAAACGCCATAAGGGCGCTTCGCTGCCGTGCGATCACCAACACTCGCAGGCGGACTGAGTATACCGCGAGTACGCCCACCCCATACGCGGATTCGAAACAGCGTCACAAGATTAGGAGACAAACTCGTTACCTCTGGGCTACAGGCCGACCGGGTTGTGGTCCCCCTAAGACAACCTTCTACTTCTGCATCGGCAGCCGTATAGTATCACCTACAATAACGAATCATGAAGGGATTACACTACTGCTTTCACACTTGGTATGTCTACTAGCTATACTGTCTCTGCTACTCAGCATCCGTTCACAGATCGCCCCAAGTCTCGTCTATTAACTACACTTATGTCTTCCCGGTCACCGACAAAACAGCTCATTGGTCGCATCTGACACAGTTTTGAGCCACATATTCCGTGTTCGTTGCCCAGTGGTCACAACATTCTCATACTAAAGAGAAGACCAAGCTTACTTTCCAGCTAGTTCTCCATTTTGCCTTGCAGCTTTCAGTGTGCGCACTCTGGTGCAGATCGGGCGACAAACATGCCCGGTCTGCACACTTGAGACACTCTGGGTGGACATTTGTTGCCTATCCGAAAGCAGGTTGCTAGACGCCAGTACCATCATCACAAGGAACTCTGGCAAACTCTGATGTCAAATAACACTCGCGCCCTTCCGAAGACGCTAATCCTGACTTCCTATTCCGCAATTGTTCTGAGGGTACAATATTTGTAAAAAGATATATATATATCGTCGTTTATGTGCAGCTTGTTTGAGGTAAAATCCATAATTGAAAAAATAGTTCCAAAGGAAAGTTTCAGCGGAAATGTTAACACAATAGTGCCGCACGATTTAATTCCGGAAATATTTATCTGCATATTTTCTAATACGTACTACAGACGTGAATTTATAGTATCATGAAATGTGGAAGTTTAAAGTACAAATTGACCAGTGTGCACACACACACACTCACACACACCTTGTGATCTGTACCCTGCCCGCTACTACGGCAGAGCCAGGGTCACAAATGCGTCTTTCTGCACACACAGTTGGGCCAAATTGTTTGATGGTCACGACCTGAGCAGATTGCAAAGTTACGGGGTTCATTGAGGTATAGATAACACGAATAGCGTGCACAGGGTCAGCCAGCAGGTGGCGGGCGATTAATGACGCTGGCTGTTGGCATGGAACTTCATTTCGCTTCATCGGCTGCGTATTCGGAGTGGCGGAGGCGGTCATCTGCGAAATGTGTTTACTGACACACGCCAGTATAAGCTCAAAAGCCTCCTTCCGAAATACATTGTGAAGCATCTGGAAGATTCTTTCAAGTTGAAATGTAAGATTGCTTAACTGTCGGTAAGAAGAGAGTTCCTGGATATGGTTTAAGTGTGAACCATTTCCCCGCTACCTATTTCGAGAGTCTTCGGGCGCAAAAACTACGATCGGACGCGAGAAAACTAAGGCGAATGACCAGGTGCTTTCTCGAGGAGACTGAAGAGAATCCCAAATGATACCGCGAGATGTACTTGGCCAAACGATCAGCAATCGACATGTTACCTTTGGTATGTTACTTCAATTTTGCAAACCTGTGTTACGATCTGGTATGCGCAATTACGAAGATCTGGATTGAACCTTTTGCTAAGTCGCTGAATCACAAACTTGGAGCATAATTTACCGTTTGAACCATCAAAATATGTTACCAACCCCTCCTCTGTGCCACTGACCCCGTTACAACTAGAGGTTGTGTCATGTGGGTTGAAATTTCGTGTTCCACCTGGAAAGACCAAATCATAGAAACCCAAACTTAAATAAAGGTGTTTTCTAGACAACTTGTCGGACTCACAGCAACCTTCAGATATAACGAGCAGTGCCTCAAAGCAAAACTTGGGTTTGGAACACCAGTATAGAATCTCTAGTTCTAGACAAAATCCTCCCCTCGAAGGCAAACATTTGGGGGCTCGAAAACAGATCAGAAGGAAAGTGGGTATCCATCACAGAGACAAATGTTCGGGTGCTGTGGTTTTACACAAATCCATATATAGAGCAAAACATGACGGTACTTAACGACCGTATCAACTTCGAACCATATGGCATGCCTAACAACCCAATATTTGCAAAAAAATATAATCGCGGATCTGGAAACCCTGTTGGCGGGAAACTTCATAAATGTCGAGACCACAAAATCCTTGAGACCAGGTGAAGGCAGACACCGTAGTTTTATGTGTTGCCTAAATTGCACAAGCTGGACATCCATCTGAGGCTGATTCTATCCATAAGCTATTCCCACAGTATAAACTAGCTAAGTGGCTAGTA